GCAACGTTAGGCATTTTGGCTCGGCTTCAAACGCTCCCCAGAGCCTCACCGCAGCCTTGCCCTCTTCTCGGCAGGCTTCCGAAGGCGACGTTTAGGCATTTTGGACCGCCTTCAAAAGCTTTTCGGCCTCTTGCGGCCTCTCTGTGGCCTGTCCGAAGCTTCTCGGCAGCTGGCAGGCCTCTTGCGGCCTCTCTGTGGCCTGTCGGAAGCCTGCCTCCTCTCTTCTTAGTCTTATGGGCTTCCGAAGGCAACGTGAGGCATGGCCTCTTGCGGCCTCTCTGTGGCCTGTCCGAAGCCTGCCTCCTCTCTTCTTATGGGCTTCCGAAGGCAACGTTAGGCATTTTGGACCGGCTTCAAAAGCCTCTCGGCAGCCGGCAGGCCTCTTGCGGCCTCTCTGTGGCCTGTCCGAAGCCTGCCTCCTCTCTTCTTATGGGCTTCCGAAGGCAACGTTAGGCATTTTGGCTCGGCTTCAAACGCTCCCCAGAGCCTCACCGCAGCCTTGCCCTCTTCTCGGCAGCTGGCAGGCCTGCCTCTTCTCTTCTTATGGGCTTCCGAAGGCAACGTTAGGCATTTTGGCTCGGCTTCAAACGCTCCCCAGAGCCTCACCGCAGCCTTGCCCTCTTCTCGGCAGCTGGCAGGCCTGCCTCTTCTCTTCTTATGGGCTTCCGAAAGCGACGTTAGGCATTTTGGACCGGCTTCAAAAGCCTCTCGGCAGCCGGCAGGCCTCTTGCGGCCTCTCTGTGGCCTGTCCGAAGCCTGCCTCCTCTCTTCTTATGGGCTTCCGAAGGCAACGTTAGGCATTTTGGCTCGGCTTCAAACGCTCCCCAGAGCCTCACCGCAGCCTTGCCCTCTTCTCGGCAGCTGGTTGAATGCCAGCATTGGTGTGAAGCCCATCCAAGTCTCGCTGTTGAATCCTAGGAAGTTGTCAAGGTTCAACCGCCAAACCCTCGAGATGAAAAGGGGTCGGCGGCACCCGGGCGGAGCCCTTACAATAATGTGAAGTGCTTGGAATGCTGAACTCAGGTTGACTAAATGTCTTCTTGGCGATCCCAATCGTTGGAAGTGTGGGGGTTGAGGGTCTAGCCTCTCGCGCGTTGTTTTGGAACGTGCTCCACCGGATCATTGATGGTCATGACCTTCCACATTGCTCTGCTTCAAAAAGCTGCAACTCAGGCCACGAGCCACGAGTTTGGACATGCATGAATTAGCAGGTAGTGGGGATCATTGAGAAAAGTAGGTGAATAAGCAGTATAGCATAGTATAGCACCTATTGCCAAGAGGCCCAAATGTCACCCAAACACTAAGCTCAATTATTCCTAACTCGCAGGGGGCATACATCGACTTGAGCTGCCATCCATGATGACTGTGGCAGCTTGGCAAGATCTATCTGGTCCCACCACCATCGGTCCTAGGGCAATCAATACTGCTGGGCACTTGGGCATTGCCACAACCATTTCAGAGGCATTTGCGCACTCATTTGCGCGTATTTGCGCATGCGCCTCCAAGTCACACGTGTTTGCGCACCTTCACAGTGGTTTTTTTTCCGGCCAAGTGTGGGATTTGGCCAAAGCCAACTGCTTTGAAGATTTTGAAGAGAGTGAAAGACGGCTTTTTTCAGAGATGGATTCACCAAACTGGGCTGGGATTCTGAATTTTGGGCTAAGATATTATGCCACATCTTGGGCAACTTGTGAGTTGCACCAATCCCACGAATTACGCCTTGGCTCGAATTCTCAAAAACATCCATGCGTACCCCTTGACGACCACCTCAGTCATCATATCCCCTGGCTCTAGGGCTTTCACCTCCATTCGCGGCCTTCACTGGCCTTGTTAAACGAATGATTCTCCACCAAGGGCGCGCTCAAAACAGTGGGCTCCCTACAGTCCGTCTGATTTTGCATGGGTTCTTCTCTATTCCCAAGGTTCTGTGCTGAACTGCCCAACAGCACAAATCGAACCATCTTCCAACCGCCACGGTGTGACACACGACTGGAGAGTCACGCCCAGAACTCCTATTCTGAATTACATCACTTTCCCACGAGGGACCGCTGAGACCGTGGGATGTCCTTCCATTCAACCGGCGACAGCCAGTGCCGCTGAAGGCACATCTTGGCATCCCATCCGTGATGCTCAGGGCTGTCTCGCCAATTCCAAAAAAACCAACCATGGGAAGCATGGCCATACGCATCCAATTGAGCACTCGCAAAGGATCGGTAGGCCTGGGACGGATTGGTCGAGACTGGCAGTGGAACAAGAGAAACCTTGTCTAAGTGGCACTCGTTGACTCAGATGTTTCTTGCAAATGGTCTGTGCCATCTGACATCTATGACTCTGAGTGATTGAATTGACTCCTTTGAAGTATGAAGCAAACTCTATAATTACCTGAGGCGATGTCCAAAAACTCAAACTTCTGGCAGATGTCAATACTCCAAAAAGAATCGAGCATATACAATCCCTGAAATCCATTGAAATCCATCTCGTGAACTTCTTCAAATCTACTCCCATCCTCCCATTCCCCATGGCCGAACTCGCCGCTTTTCACACCGCAGACCACACACGTCCCGAACGCCTCCTCGTCGTTCTCGCTGGACGCCATCGCCCGGTCCGGCAGCGCTAAGCTCCATTCGCCCACCACGGCCGGGACGCGGCGCAAGATCTTGCGGTCCCTTTTGGTCATCCTTCGACCGGCCAGGGGGCGGTCCATACCACCCACCCAGGGGTGTAGAAGCGCGTCGGGAGACCGGGAGAAGAGGGTGGACAGTCCCAGGGGTTTGGGGTCCATGAACACCGGACCGAAACATGGGGGGATCCAATGGGCGTGATGGTTGGTGAAGTCTTCGAACACTGCGAACACAAGTCCGAAGGACGCGACCGAGATCATTCAAGGGTGGTTTCAAGAGTCCGATCGATCAGCGAAGTCTCTTTGGGGATTGTCAATTTAGACCCCCCCGAACGAATTTGGGTGGTTGAAAGCTGGTGAAGAGCTATAACTAATAGACTCTGGTTTATGTCTAAAGTAAGTTATTAAAACAAAAAGTGGCCGGTGTTCTGCGATCTCAGCACCCCACACGACAGTTCCGCAGACGACGGACAGATGTCTGCCCTCCTGAGATGACTCTTGAGGCCTTGCCGTTGCCACCAGGCACCGAAGCAGTGATACAGGTGGAGGTCGAAGGCCACGTTCGCCTGCACTTGCAGCGAGACTTTCCGGAAGTCTTGCCCAATACTGATGATACTACTGATGATACTGTGGGAGCAGCACGAGTTCGTGTTTTTGGACTTAGTGTCCTAGGAGATCCTTGGAGTGAACCAAACTTCAGCTTGTGGAATCTCTCAGTTCTCCTCTTCGATCATAAGTGGGGCCAGCCTACCGTACAGACCACATGGAAAACAGTGGAACAAGCATCGTTCAGAATTCATCATGTGTCCAAGTTGAACAAAGGCCAACACAGGACTTTCTGGGCCATGCTCGCCATGATTTCCTTGTTCCAGCTGAAAGGCAATTTCAGTCCCATACGAACAACACGCGATGTATATATATATATACACATGTCTTTTTGTTGCCCAAATCACAATTTTGGAAATAAGCATTGTCTTATATGGTGACGAAGCTTCATGAAGACCCCATGTTGTAAAAAGCTATAACATGTGTTTAGACAATGAAAAGAACACGCAGGGAGGAACAGGTGTTGTTGTTGTTCCCTTTTACCCATCTGAACTGACGAGAACAGTCTGAGGCTGAACTGGCAGGTCCTTTGTCGAATCGCCCCCAGCAGAACCGACGAAGAACCGGTGTCTGACTTAAAACTTAAAAGGAACCGAAGCAGTCTTCATGTTCCCCAGCTGTCGCCCATGTTCGGGTGGAAGCCCTCTCCACCGACTCGGCCAGTGGCATGTCGTGCAAAGCCGTCGAAGACTTTGTTCCAGAGCCGCCAAATCTCATCCAGGCGCTCGGTCCGATACCTCGACCGGGCCCCAAAAGGGACGATGTTTGAACTACACCGGTGGAGTTCGGACGAAGACAAGCCCTGAAGAAGGAGGATCATCTGCAGGGTTTCAGATGGTTCGGTTCATCTTATCAGCAAGCAGGCAGGTAGGCAGGGAGGAGATAGGTAGACGAATGTAGACATATAAGTAGACTACTAAGTAGACAACGATGACATAAGTAGACTCTAGACAAAGGAGCGGAACCACTCCAAGTCACACTGGAAGTACGATGCTCACTTCGTCCGGGGGCATGCCGGCAGCACGAATGGCTTGAATCGCCTTTCCACGCCGTGGACGCGGTGTCCAGAACAAGTGCTCTTAGCGACCCAATAGCAATGGCCTCCAACCTAATAGCAATGGCCTCCAACCTACTAGCGATGGCCTCCAACCTACTGGCTATTTGCCTAATTATCTTTGCTTCCACTGTTGATTGGTATTACAATGTATTACCACCTCTCGCGCCAGAAAGTTGCCGTGAAACGCGTCTGGCTGATGCATGACACACAGGTCGAAACATAACGAAAATGCCATGTACACCACACGGCCTAAAAGTCGCGACACAGGAATTACAATGTATTACAGTTTGCATGAGAAACAAGTTGAAAGAGGACAAGATCGACGCTTGAAAGGTCAACCCTCCAGCCTGGTCGTAAAACTGGCAAAGCACATCCGCTGGCACTTTCCTAGGCTGGACGTTGCAAGTTACTCTGGGTAAAGCAAAAAAACAATAACCTGATGCCTCTGGTATCCTCTGGTTCTGATTTCCTCTTGCAGCAGTTTTCCGGCATACCTCAGGCGCCCTGATGCTCGTCCTAAGCCCTGTTGGAAATGGATGCCTAGTTGTGTCGGAGCAGTGGCGGCAAAGGATAGGAAACACTCCAAGTTTTTGTCCCCGTGACCTGTTGATTAGTTACAATCAAGAAAAACAGAAAAGGAGAAGATGGAGTATTGGTACCTGAAGAATTTCCTCTTGGAACGTTGCAATGCTCACCAAATGCAGAAACCAGCAAGTGGCAAGTACATGATCCTCTTCTTGCCCCAAGAAAATCCCGCAGGTCCAAAGCTGGTCCGAACTTCGTGACACTCATGCCTCTTCGACACATCCTTGGGTGACCCATGGGGTTCACCACTTGCCCCCCACGTCCCAAGTGCCACTCTTCTCCTAGACGACCGTCCAAGTTTCTCACTGGGCTCGTTGCACACAGCAATGCCACTCACGGCCGGATGCCCCTTGTACCGCTCTGCGATGATTTTCAAGGCCTCGAAGCACGGTGAAGAACACCACCGAGCCTGTCAAGCCTGATGATTTTCAAGCCTCCCAGCATAGTAGGCCCATCAAATCAACAGGACCAGGGCAGGTGGGACCATTCCAGGAGAGGTTGGACAAATGAGCACGGACGGTAGCAGCTTCCCCGCCAAGTGATTCAAGGTCGCTTTCTTTCCATAATTGTTCGCTTTTTACCCAGGTGGGTGACGTATTTGACCCCTTTGGAGGGGGGCAGGGGTGGTGCCGGTGACTGGTCCAATTTCCAACCCACACTGTGTCTGGAGCCCACGCCGAGCCCTTGGCCTCAAGGGATTCCTCGAAACGCCACCTCTCCCAGCGCCAATCCTTCATTTCCTCAGCGGGAACCGCAGAGCCAGCGGACCCGCGGAGCCACCCGGAAACCCCGAACTCGCAACTCTTTGTCACGTCGGAGGAACTGCAGTCCGAGGTGTTCGAAGTGATTTGCCAAGTGACTTCTAGGTGGAGGAATCAAAAAAGGAGCAACAAATCTTCCTAGACTGCCAGTGTAAAGTGTTACATGATATCTAAGAAAATCAGACAGTGCCCATCCTTTAAACATGCATTCAACCTCTTCCGGCCGCCCCGTGCCCCAGCGGCTCGCCCGCAGGGCGTCTCGCCGCTTTCACCGCCGGGCGCGCCATGGAGATCTAGGAGCACCTGCAGCGCGGGCGGCGCGGGCGCTACGGCTCGGTGGTGGGGTCAGGTAGGCCAGGTAGGCTCTGAAGCTATTGGGAGAGGTTGGCAGAGTGGAGAGAGCAATAGAACCGGAAACAGCAGATGAAGACCAGGCAGGGTCCCTGGGTAGTGAGCTCTTGAGTCTAGAGGTATACAAGAAACATCAAGAAACTGGGTTCCAGCTAGGTCTGTAGGTAGAACATCGGCATGTATTCAAGTAGGGAGACCCCCTAGTCCAATGGGTAGACGGATCTATCTTCCTTTTTCCAAACGGTACTTCCGATGGCCTCCAACCTAGTAGCGATGGCCTTCAACCTCTCCCTAATTTAATACACTTGTGCTGCACCACTCATAGGGCCTCACCACAAACACCCATCGCTCTCAGATTCCAGGTGGACCAGCCAAAGACATGGAGGCCTTGCCGGGTGGAGGCCTAAATCACTCCAATCACGTTGATTCGCTTTTGGACACCCATCCTTAGGGAGATTCAATCGAAGATTGAGAACATCCCCCTGTTTCTTTCTGATCTTTCTGGTCTTCTGGGGACAAAAAGCCCTTATTCCGCGTGAAAACCGGTGCGCGTCAGCAGCGAAAACCGGGGCCTGAAGTCCCAAATGCTTGCACCAAGCAAGTGCTCGGTCAAGGATGTCCAGGGCCGGACCAACATAGAGATCGCCATTCGAGGGGCCTGTCACAATCCAATACCTGAGTGGCCACAACACGCCGAAGATCGAAACGCTTCTCAAAAAAGTATCTTTCAAGACTCACGGGCGTTCAAAGCCCCTGAAAGCCACAGAGAGCCCACAAGTGCCCCACCATGGGTGGTTCAAGGCTGTTTGATGCAGACTGCTTTCTGCTTGGCTGCCCGAAGGGGATTCTCACTGCATTGAAGCCATAGCTTTTGATCTGCTGAAAGTCTTCCTCTGTGACGAAGGTACTGCGATGCGCCTCGCAGGTTTCTTGAAGGGGCTAAACCTTGGTTTTCACCGGCTCTCCACCACCGGTGCAACCGGTGAACCAGCACCACCGGGGAGGCCCGATGTGCAAATCAGGATCATTTGCCCCTGATCTTTCAGAGGCAGAAGCTGGAAAACAAAAAAGATAATCCAATCATTCTGTTGAAATATTCATATAGATTCGATTCTATAAATTCTATTGCTTTGAAGATCTGCGAAGAATCTACATGAGCGGGCTATGAAATTCTGCTAAGCCTGCCCGTGAAGGCAACATTCTGGTGCAACTTTAAGCCATGATGTTTAAAGTTGAAATAAATCTTGTAAGTCTGTTGTCCTCTATTCAGGACTGAGTCGTTTTCGCATCCAACACCCCTGCAGCGGCTGCAGCGGCAGCGGCCTCAAGCACTTCGGCAGCTCTTTGGGGGCCCAGCTTGTTGCGCATCCTTAGGGGATGAATAGATCCTCTGATCTGAGAATGCTTTCGCAAGGGACCAAAGGGGTGCATCGCTTTTTGGACATCTGAACAAACTTGAGTAACTTGGTTCGTAAAATATCCTAGTTTTGCACTGTTGAGTAAGGGGTGCATCGCTCTTTGCACGGCCACACGTGGCGGTGTTGGACTCCTTTCAGGTCTGGTGCAAGAGTACACCTTGGGCTCCGTTTCGCTCGACTCGGCCGCTCCGTTTCGCTGGATCCTTCACAGCCCGTTCCAACGGTCCCATCAAAGCTCTCTCCGAAATTCAACAGCACTCCTGGTGGTGTCAGATGAATCATAGTCGCGTAGGATCCTCCAAGCTAGGCCATTGAAGGTCTTCATGGGTGGGAGCTGCAGCTTTTGCACATACATCTTGAGTGCTAGTGAGATCTCACTTTTGGAATGCCCTCCACAATAACTATCTCTTGATTCCGTCTTTGGAAGGAAGCCCGACTTTATCAGAATTTTGGCGATTTGCCGCATCTTGCTTGCTGCTGGCGTCGCCAATTGCCACCAGCCTTGATATTTGTTGGAGAGAAATGCTGCGCGCAGTTTCTCTTTTACATCACCACAGCGGTCTAAGGGCTGAGGCAGCAAATTCATCTTCCTCAACACTTTCCGGTTGTCGGATGAATTGACGAAACAAAGGAGGGCCTCATGCTCATCAGCATTCCATTTGTCGATGTAGCCAAGCCTTTTCAATGCCCGAATTGTGAGGTTCTTGGTGTCTGTCAACATAAAGGGACCACCACCCTTGAAAATAGCGTGAGAACGAGAACTTCCATACTTTTGGTCGATCCGGACAGATTTCCCAGATGTCTTGCTATTGGGGATAAAAAAGGCACACTGACTCCGGTAGCGTGCCCAAGATCGAGACTGAGTGACGAGTTCATGAACGGCCAATGTGGCCAGCTGACCAGGATAAACAACGAGTCGGCCCAAACCATGAGCAAGCCAGAACTTGGCACTGGCTGGTACAAGATTCTCCTGGTTTTGCACATATCCCAAATCTTCGAGGAAGCAGTTCACCACTGCTCTTTTCTCGAGATACTGGTCAATGCTTTTGGCGTCCCAGCTGTCTGCAAGAAGCACTGAGCCAGTTCCATCTGCATGAAGCATTGCTCGAACCCGGGAGCCACGGTCTTTGCGAATTGCTTCCAACCTCAGGACCTGAAATCCCACCTCCTCATACTTTGCCGCGACATGTGGAAAAAAATCAGGAACAAACACCAAATACCTAGATCTGGGGAAATCAAGTCTCAGCATGGTATCAATAAACCCGGCATCCGATGTCAACAATGCAATGCGATGAATGCCGTTGTGAGTAGAAAGCGTTTGCATCGCTGATACTATTGCAGAATCATTGGGTTCTGCAAAGTGATCCTCTGAAGAACGAGGAACTGGCTGAAATGTGATGCCAGGCCCCTGCATAAAGTGACCCCAAGTCCTTCTCTTGAACATGCCCGGTGCACCCAAAATCGTTGTGTGCACGTGTCCGCCGTGTTGCTTCAAAATGCCAATGGCTTGCTTGATGTCGTTTGTGCTGTGTTGGTCTCCATCTACCAAAAGCTCGGTAGAAGAATGCACAGCGAGTCTCACTCGACCAGATCTGAGGAAACCTCTCGACCGTCTCTTGGCTTCACGTTGTGTAAAAGAGCCAAGAACCACAGCTGCCCCAGAACTTGACAGGGCACCAATGCCAAGTGGAGTCACTTTCGGGTTGCTCCGCCCGTGCTCAACGCCAAAAGACCTCTTCCAAGTTCTTTCTTGTCCCAATGTTTTCAGAACTACGGTGTGGATCATACAGGACGGCAAGCACGGCAGCAGAGGCCACATAGGATGTGAAATCAGAACGGGCAACAAATTCAGTGTTATATAAGCTTGGCATTTGACCAGTGCGGAAAGAATCTACCCCCTGCAACAGAACTGTTCATGTTGGAGAACTGGGGTACGCTGGTCCCTATTCCATGGGTGCACTCCAAGTATTCCTGGGTGATGTCTGCATGGTTTCGAAAGCATGGATCTTGACTTTGTCTGACTGTTGCTAATATGTCATGAGTCATGAGCCATCATGAGCACGCTATTCCTGGTTCCAACAACCCTTTCACGCTCTTTGTCAATTATCAATTCTCAGATTTCTTACTTTACCCTCTTGATTCTCGAGGCTCGCAGAATCACGCCAACCTTTGTCAATCAAATCCCTTCTACTGAGTTCGTACTCGAAAGCACCTTCCTTTGACTCCCTGTCTCCTTCCCTCTAGGTCAGTGCCACCAAACAGGGTGATCCTCTATGTTGAGCAGAGAGCAAATGGTCAACCAATTACCAATACTCGGTGCGTTGCTGCCTTTCTGCCCACGTCCTCCGGTCTCAGCACCGGTCTCAGCAACCGCCGCCGGTCCTGGGTCGCACTGGGTCTGGCCGAGGTGCTGATGAAGGAGTTGCCACTCGCAGTGGGAGTTTCGAGCGCCGAACTGTTGGAAGAGCTCATGGCTCGGCCCAGGCTCCAAGAGCAACCAGCCTCCTAGGTTAACCTGGGCGTAGGGGTGTTTAGCCACCACGCTTTTCCGATTCAAAAGACACCACGCGCAGGTGCGGACTTTGGCCCAAACGCTCCACGTATGCCATATATGCCTACATTGACCCCCCAAACCACCCCAATGTAGGCATATATATTCCATACATGGAGCATCTGGGAAAGATAGTTTTGGGTGGCATCACAGTGGTGGATGTGAAAGTCACCCATCGATAGGAAGGATGTGAAGGGATCTTTCATCCTTCGAAGGGATCCTTCAAGATTGGTGGTTCTTCTCGTGGTAAAACTTAAAACTCTCGATGCATTCACAGAGCCTGTCTGCCAACCAGTAACCACTTTGCCCAAGGCTTGCCGGTCTGAGACCGGGATCGTGAGAATTGTTCATCCTGATTGGAAGATCCTCCCACTTGAGGGTGTCTGTTTGCTGTTGGCATAAGTTTTAGCCAGACTAAAAACTGGAGATGTTCTGGATGTCTCCGCCTTTCTCTCACCCCCGTGCGCAAATGCAAGTCAACAATCCTTCTCGGATGAGTTCATCCCAATTGGTGGAGCAAATCGGAACTGTGACCCAAACCACCCACAGCAGTCATCAGAAAACCAAAATTGGACTCGGAAAATCGAAAACTTATTTAAAAGAACTGACCTATAGTGGAGTCAGTCCGTGGTCGATCTCAACCACAAGCTTCAATAATTCAATACCACCCTCATCCTTTCCTCAATTCCTCCAAGAGGCCCCACGCCAGGGTGGCCTCCGCCAGTACAGCCGCCGTTGCATCTCCAAGAACCGCGCAAGGCTTGCAGCCGCTTTGCCCAAGTCCTCCCACGCTGGACAGGACGAAGGGCCAAAACCATGGGTTCGACTGCGAAAAAGAAATCAGCTGTTGGATTGTACATGGGAAATATAGAATACTTATATGAATACTTAGACACGTCAGAACCCCATAAATAGACCATCCCTGGTTCTGAAACAGATCTTAAACGGTTATTTACTGATATTTCCTGCAGGTTCAGTTTACCAGCTTCCATGCTGCAGCCGTCGGGTCGAACTGCACTCCTGTCCACCCTCTGAAAGGTCGGAACGGATGGCTCGGTCCGTCCTGGGAGACTTCTCTCCAGTAGGCCACGGCACACAGCGACAAGGTGCGAACCCGAGACAAGACGACCTGAGACGGCGCAGGCATGCGCACTGGACGGCGCATGCGCGCCGGCACACACTGCAGTCGGAGGCGTTGGAGGAAAGGGAGAGACAGGATTGCCATGTATTTGTAACCATGGAAAAACCCTTGCGAACGAAGAGAAGGGAAGATGCCGCCCAAGGGAGCCTTTTCGAAGATGCCGCCCAAGGGTGCTGCGAAAGGCCCTCCAAAAAATGAGACCCTTCCCGATATATTTACTTGTTTCCAAAAGCATCTCCGATGCTTGGGTTTTCGTTTAGTCGCTAGTGCCGGGGGAGAGCGTTGTCGGGGACGGAAGATGGAGGTGGAGGTGGACGGGGTTGGGAAGGGAAGACGGAAGGGAAGGAAGAGGGAGGGGAAGGACGGGAGGGGAGCGAGACGGGAGGCGCACGGGTGGGGACGGGGTTG